TCAGTTTGGTCCTTATGTGCTTGGTTGTCCTGTGCGATCTCAGAAACGGCTCCTCTTTCTTGAAAAACGTTAGAGAATTTTCTTTAGTTTCACATTTTCAGGAGATGGTGAGGACACCAGCCCCTGTCCTTGCTGTCCTGTGAGATGGCGGGACCGCGCCCGGCGTTAACGCCCTCTGAGATGTCAGCACCTCCAGCAAGTGCTTCTCAGGCAAGTACTCGAGCCTGGCCCCGTGCTGGGCTCCGGGCTTACCAGAAACAAGACCACATGACCCATGTCCTTATGGACTGACCTCGCCTCCCAAGAGGCAGGCAGACCCGACACCAGCAGACAAGAAAACGTGTCATTGAACGTAAGTGAAGTTTATAAATAAATCCTCCCTTAGACGTACCCAAGGATTGTTCAAAAAAATTAGATTACGAACGGTGGTATCGGTGTCAGTCTCTCCGTTGTGCGGCTAAGGTGACAGCAACATTTTAGCTACATAATTGGCAGAAATATTCTAGCTGATTTAGCACGATGCGTTCAAGTGAAACCTTTAGCCCGGGAAGGGTGTTCATCCCCGAGACCGCCCGCGTTCCGTGTGGGAACTGCTTCCGGTGGTGGTGCTCTGGTGCCTGGCCCACCAGTTACCCGGCCAACCCCGCAGCCCGTGCAGTGGTGTTGGAAGTCTGGCCGGCAGTGAGGACACGAGAGTTTGGAACCATTCAGCAACGTGTCTGCGTGGCTCGGCGGGAGAGTGGAGGCACCAGGCTGTTCGCCTGCACTGGTCAATACCTGTCTGCCTGTCTAAGTTCTGTGCTCGCTGTGGGGCTTGAACTCACGACCCCAAGATCAAGAGTCACTCACTCCACCAACTGAGCCAGCCAGGTGCCCCTGAAATAGTCAAATCTGAAGGAGAGCCTCATTGTTGGGGTGTCCATTAACCCTCTATGGAGGGGTGCCTGGGTGGCTCGGTCAGTTGAGTGTCCGACTTCGGCTCAGGTCACGATCTGGTTTGTGAGTTTGAGCCCCGCGTCAGGCTCTATGCAACAGCTCGGAGCCTGGAGCCTGCTTCGGATTCTGTGTCTCCCTCTCTCTCTGCCCCTCCTCTGCTCGTGCTCTCTCTCTCTTTCTCTTTTTCTCTCAAACATGAGTAAACATTTTTAAAAATCCATTCTGGAAAAAAACAAAAATAGAAGACTTTGATTTATCTAATTTGCCTATACTTTACTTGTGAAACCTAAAGTTCAGGGTTCCTCAATTTTATGTGCTTTTGTTCAGGTATTTAGACTTATTTGATAGGGAAATATTCAAATCATTTTATCTTTTTAAGTTTTTTAACTTAAGTTTTTAAGTTTTTTATTTCCATGTTCATTATTTTTTTTTTGCATTTTTATTTTTACTTAGTTTTTTGTTTTTTTTTTAAGAGACAGAGCATGAGCGGGGGAGGGGCAAGGAGAGAGGGAGACACAGAATCCGAAGCAGGCTCCAGGCTCTGAGCTGTCAGCACAGAGCTTGACGTGGGGCTCGAACTCCCAGACCGCGAGATCATGACCTGAGCCGAAGTCGGACATTTAACTGACTGAGCCCCCAGGCACCCCTAAAATATTCAAATCATTTTAAATCAAAAGCTTGAGCACTAATAAAACCTGTGCCTAAAAAACATCTTTGAGGGGAAAACAGTTTGTAAGCATATTTGAAAGCATTGGGAGACGGGTTGGGGGACAGGTGCGTTACAGAAATGTTATGAACATTCTGCGTGAAATCTTTGGGGCACAGAGTGAGCATGCAGTGCCCGGGTCCACTGAGGCCACGCGGCCTCGTCTACGTCCCTGCGAGAAGGGGCTGACCTGTGTGTCGCCACTCACCGGGCCTCACGGACGTGCTGCTGTAACGCGCCTAGTGCGCGCACGTCCAGTAAATTCGGCCGTTATTTAGACACTCTGGAGAGAGAGTTGCGTCTTCACAGGGAGCTCTGGACCCGCGTAGCGGACCGTTCACCGCCAGTTGCACTGCACTTAGTGAGGGGGAGTCCTGGTCCTGAGCCGTTGAGCCAGGGCGGGCAGCCTGGAGGGTGGGGTGTATCTGCAGGCCCCGAGGTCTGTTGTCCGAGGTAAAGGCCTCTATCAGCGGGGCCGGGGCGTAGCTTCCTCTCGCCGTTTCCTCCTTCTCAGGCCCGTTTCCTCCCTGAGCCAGCCCTGCACGTCAGGGCTGTTCTCCAGCGGGAAGGTCGGCCCGCTGGGTGATTGTTTCTGTTTCTGTGGCGCCTCGGGCTGGGGGCAGCAGGTGCCGGAACGGAGTGCAGGGCGACTCCCTCGCAGGGCCACCGCTCAGGCCCTCGGTTCCCCTAATTAAATGGTGCTTCTCGGATCTCCCCGCCCCCCGGGCCACCCGGGAAGGAGCGCTTCCCAGGGACTCCCGTGTGCCCCGGCCTCACTCGAGACCCTAATCATTGACATCGTTTCAGCACAGGCACTGAGATTTCCTTGTGGGCAGGGCTGAGCTGAGGCGAGGACCTGGGGCAGGGTCACCGTCTAAACTGACGGTAAGCCTGGGGTTTGGTCAGAAACTTACAGTTTCTAGGTTCATGCTTTGAATTCCGTCCTGCCTTCTCTTTCCTTCTTCTTAGCTCTATAGAAACATTGTTTTAAAAAAATTCCAGCCCGATCTTCACTGAACCAGGAACGGAGTGGGGATGTTGTTCCCCATAATTTCATCCAGAGTAGTGAAAACGAGGCGCAGTATTGAAGGTCGAGAGGCTTGGATGGAGACGCACCTGTGCCAGCGCCCGTCCCGGCCCCGGAGCCGGAGCCTGCTCGCTCGGACACGGAGGGCTTGGCTCCAGGAGAACCCCGGGACGGGGACAGGCAGGAGGCGGTCAGATGAGGGGCACAGGGACCGGAGGCGGGCCCGTGCTCCTCAGGCTCAGCCTCCCCTGAGAACCCCCACACCCCAGACCCATTACGCCCGGACCCCCACACGCGGGGCTGGAGCCGGCTGTGGCCGGGCCCTGGGAACCGACACTGTGGTTCTGAACTTAGCGTCCTGACCGTCACTCGCCCTTCAAAGTTTCATTTGTTGCTCTCGCTGTGATACGAGTCTCTCCGTCAGTGACTCTTCTCCGAGTGTCACCGTGCCCGCGTTAGTTGTGGTCGTCCGACCCTCCCGCTTACCTGGCCCTTCCCCAGGCACGCCGGGGGGGGGGGGGGGGGGGGGGGGGGGGGGGGGGAGACACCGCCCCCACCCACCCTGAGCTGGGAGCCCCGGCTCTGCCTTTGACCCTGTCCTTGTCTCTGGGGTTCCCACGGCACTAACAGCCTTCGTGTGTGTGAGCGTGCACCTGTGACTCGGAAGGGAGGTGGGCAGGAGAGAGGAGGGGACTCTGGGAAAGGTTTCCCCACGTGAGGGGTCGTGGCCGAGTAGCTGGCCTTTTGTACGCAGACCGTTGAGAGCCCCGAGCGGGTTCAGGCGGACTGAGGTGCGCGCACTCGGAAAGGCTCCTGGTGGCGTCCCGGCGGGCGTTCGGAGCAGCCACAACATGGTGTGTCCACGTCACCGGCTCGGGCTGCCCAGACGCCGCCTGCCGAGGCCTCTGGACCTCGAGCCGGTCGGTCCCAGACACTCCTGGCTCCTTCCCACGTGGCTCGTAGCTTCTGCTTGGTTTTTGCCTCCTTAGCTTCCAGTGGAACGTGAACGTAATTGTTATTACCTGCTAAGAAAACGTAAGCTGAATCGCATCCAGAACGACCTGAACTGTGTATCCTTGCCTTTAAATTTTTCTTTTTTTCAACATTTATTTATTTTTGGGACAGAGAGAGACAGAGCATGAACAGGGGAGGGGCAGAGAGAGAGGGAGACACAGAACTGGAAACAGGCTCCAGGCTCTGAGCCATCAGCCCAGAGCCCGACGCGGGGCTCGAACTCACGGACCGCGAGATCGTGACCTGGCTGAAGTCGGACGCTTAACCGACTGCGCCACCCAGGCGCCCCTATCCTTGCCTTTAAAACTCGTGTGTCTGGGGCGCCTCGGGGGCTCAGTTGGTTAAGTCTCCAACTTTGGCTCGGGTCCTGATCTCACGGTTTGTGCGTTCCAGCCCTCACGTCGGGCTCTGTGCTGACAGCTCAAAGCCTGGAGCCTGTTTCGGATTCTGTGTGTCTCTCTCTGTCCCTCCCCGCAGCGCACGTGCGCTCTCTCTCAAAAGTAAATAAAACTTGTGTGTTTGGAGCCCAGCGTGCCCACTGTCCAGCCCCCCACCGTCTCCCCTCTCCTGCCTCTGTCCTTTGAACTTCCCTGTCAATTCCGCGCTATGGGAACAGGCCCTCTGCGGTCGCCACCTCCCTGTCTCCCCTCAGGCAGCTTCCTCCCTTGGGCGTGACCTCCTCTGTCAGGGTGAACCCATCTTCCACGGGGAGTGTGTCCACGTGCAGTGGCTGAGAGCACGGCTTCCAGAACCCAGCTTCCTGCTCGTGTGTCCAGCGCGTCCCGGCTTTGCCACGTGCTGCTGAGGACAATTGCCTTGAGCTTTGTGGCTAGCTTTCCCTTCTGTAACATTAGGAAACCACAGTACCCGTCTCACAGGGCTGTTGTGAAAGCCACAGGGTGCACCGTCCGTGACGTTAGCGGTCGTTTTTACTTATTAGCCCGCCACATACTGTTTGCGAACGTGTCTAGCTTCCTCAGTGTTTTGAAACCCCCTGGAAGTCAGGAACTCTGTCCTGTGCACGTAACTGTCTTCCCTCAGTGCGTGTGGCCCAGTGCAGAATGTAACGGCCCGTCGACTTTTATTAAAATACTGTGGTCTCAGCCCTCCACGAAGGTGGACCCTGGGCTGTGGGGCAGGTCTCCTCTGGCCATTTCTCCTTCCACAGGCTGCACGTGGCCCCGAGATGCCTGGCCTCAGGTG